AAAGTGTAAAAATTGTTTGTTAATAATCTTGCATTCAATTCTTCCTTTAAAGTCTGTTGTACGAAAAACGTGATGTGATCATATAGTAGAATCAGCAAGTGTGAAATCCTGTCTGACTGTTATATATTTTTCGAGCCTTTTACAAAGAGCTTCCTTTGTGATTTAATTGCAATGATTCAGATCATAATACACGAATAAATTTTATTTTTATTGATATAATGAGCATTTCATATTACATTACGATAAGCATATTACGGTAAAATGAATGGATGGAAGAAATTTTCAAAAACGAATTTGAAAGCTATCACGAAATATAATAGAAAACTGAAAAATATTAATATCAATAAGGTAAAAATTCTAATTTGTGTAATACCTATTTTGTATGAAATTAAAAGCATTATAAAATAAGAATAAAACTACTACCAAAAAAAAAGAAAAGAAACTTCCTCTTAAAAATAAAAAAACAAAGGTAAACCAAATCCAGCCATTCTGCCTAAAATATGAGTTATTATGTTAAAAGAGCCAAAAAATATAGAAACATATTCATTTTCGAAATTTACAATTAATTTTGCATTAAAAGTTTTTAGATATTCTGATCCAAGTCCGTGAAATACGAGTTGATAGGTGGTAATTGTGCTATGGTAGGATTGTTGTTTATTAGCACTCTATGAGCAGATGAATCGAGAGTAGTTGCTTTAAATGATTCATACACTTCTTTGCAAATAAACTTCTTTGGAGATCCTGTATCAATAAGGAAGTGGACATTCTTTACTTCTTGCTTGATTTTGACCGGCAAAGATATGAAAATTCTGAAACAAGGACCGAACATAATTTCATTCGCTTCATTCGCTTCTGTATGAGGAGAATCTGATAGGTATTTGATTTTGAGTTTTTTTAGAAATTTCTTCGTGTATTTCTTTAGAATGAATATCTTGTAATAGGAGGTCAAACATCTCTACCGGATACAGATCATTGATTTCATCAATTCATCAATCATCTTATTTTTTATTTGCAAGTTTATCTTGTATCACATTTAAATTCAACATATGACTGAGGGACA